TAGTAACTTCAGTTTTGGTTATTTTTAGGCAACTCGATGCGCATGCGCTGTTCTTGTTTGCGCCAGTTACTAGATTATTGAAAGCTATTAATAAATAAAATATGGGACAATTTATCGATAAAATAGGAAAAATACTTGTATATATGTATTGCGTCCTTACGATGTTGTTTGAGGTGTAGGAAATCCGTTAATCACAGTTCTTGGTTACAAAGAGAATAGCGGTATCTTTATTTTAAGAGTAATCTAGATGCATGGGAACTACTACTTAAGAGCGAGAGCATACCACATGACTGAAACGTTCACATCGAATCGAAGCGCCATCTATGGACACAACAGTTCTCTTACGCTTATTTGAAAAGTTAATAATAGTACAATACAGTAGATTCTTTGAATTGAATTATTTGAACACACACAAAAAATGAAACTAAGTTTAATATTGATAATAGTCTTTGAATCGCTCCGGCACTTTCCTGGTTCTCTGCGATCTGCGCACGTCCTGCTGCGAAGGCCCTGGCTCTTCTTGTCTGCACGGTTGTTCTCCAGCCGAACTATTGCCTTCATTCGGAGTATTGTTATTAATGTTTGGCCCAGGGTCATCTTGTATGAGTTCACCGTCTAATAGGATGTTGTCGTTTGACTCTTGAATGTCTTTGTCTTGTGTTTCGTCTGGACAAGACTCTGTTTTATCGGAAAACCTTACAGTTTTCTTTGGTTTTTCGTTCGATGTTGTCTCTTCTTCCTTCTTTTCAACATAGCAGTGTCGAAGCTGATCGATATGTCTCTTAAGCGTGTATCCGCTATCTAGCCGAATTAAGTAGTGTAGTTTTCCAAACTTCTTAATGATTGTTCCAAATCGCCAAGTTGCTTTATTATTTGCAACCCATCTAGCTTGAACACGATCTCCCACGCTTAGATTTTGGACACGTGGTTTTGCTACCATGTTGGTGGTATGCTGTTCTTTGAATGGTTTCAGTGCGTCCAATTTGAGTCGAAGATTCCTTCCCAGGTAGCGTTCGGATGGTGTTTTCCCACAAGACAATGGAGTTGCTCGATACCGGTATAGAATTTCGTTTAATTTTGTTGCTATGGGTGACTTCTCATTGGACATGGCGGCTAATTTTATTTTTAATGTTTGAATTGTTCGCTCGGCCAGTCCATTCGTTGCAGGATGCCCCGGTGCTGTGAATTTTTGGAAGATTCCATGTTTGTTACAGAACTTTTTAAAATGCTCACTCTGAAAGATAGTGGCATTGTCGGATACTATAATTCGTGGCAGTCTGAATATCTATCCGTGGAAACTGAAAATTTCTTGTAACATTTGTATGGTTGATTCAGACGATGGAGCACTTTTCGAATGTTTGACTTCTATCCATTTTGATTTTGCATCGACTACTACCAGAAAATAGTGTTCTTGGTATGGTCCGGCATAATCGACGTGTATTCTTTCGAAGTTTTCCTGAGGCTCGTCCCATATGTGGAAAGATGTCTTTGGTGGACTTTTCTTTACAAGTGCACATTGTTCGCACGATTTGACCAAATGTTCGATGTTTCGATCGATTAGTTTCCAGTACACGTAGCGTCGTGCTAGCTACTTCATTTTTACTACCCCAATATGGGTATGATGTAACTCTTCTAATACAATTGGTTGAAGACTCTTCGGAATCACGATTCTGTTTCGTTTGAATATTATGCCATCTTCGATTGTAATCTTGGGGTCGACGACTTTTCCAGTTTGCAGATCATTTTTCAACTTTGAAAGTTCGACGTCTTTTCTTGTTTCTGTCACTAGTGTTTGATGATTTAATATTATAGTTGAAATCTGATTAATTGACTGATCTCGTAATTTCCCCACTTCTTGATTAAAGGTTGATTCAATCATCCCGGATGTTGTTGCTAAAGGTGCTCTTGATAAACAGTCCATATGTATATGTTCCTCGGCTTTCCGGTGTTTTATGACATAATTAAAACTTTGTAAAAAAGTTGCATATCTTAGGAGACGAGCTGCTGTCATCGGTGGTAAATTTGCATCGTGTTTGAAAATGCGAGATAAAGGTCGATTATCTGTAATCAAGTCGAATTTTTTTCCGTAAGTGTACATAAAAAATTTGTCAACGCCGAAGACTATTGCTAGTGCTTCTCTGTCCAACTGACTGTAGTTCTGCTCTGCCGATGTTAGTGATCTTGATGCGAAGGCGATTGGTCGTTCTATTCCATTCACAGTATGTGAAAGCACAGCTGCAATTCCCGTGGGGCTTGCATCGCACGCTACTGTAAGAGGTAATTCGGGATTGAATGGCATTAAGACACGGTTGCTGGCAATTTCTTGTTTTAATTTTATGAAAGCTGCTTCACAGGCTGCTGTCCATTTGAATGTTGTATTTTCCCGAAGTAGACATCGTAGAGGGTGTGTAATAGTTGATGCATTGGGTATGAATCTTGCGTAGTGCATAGCCATGCCGAGAAATCGTTTCACTTCTTCTGGATTTGCGGGTCGATTTATTTCTGTTATAGCTTCAACTTTCTTTGGACATTTCGATATTCTATTATGACTGATGACATATCCAAGATATGATATTTCTTCTTTAAAAAAATGACATTTTTGTCGATTAATATGTAAATTATATTCTTCCAATTTGTTAAGACAATTAATTAATCGCTGGTACGTCTGTTTGATTGATTCTCCATGGATTATGATGTCATCAAAATATGTGATAACACCATCTAGTTTGACTAAGATTTGATCCAAAATTCGATGAAATTTGCTTGGAGCGGTTTTGATACCAAATGACAGCCGATTGACAAGATAGGTTCCCCTCTGCGTGGAAATCGTTTGTATCCTTTTGCTTTCTTCATCCATTAAAACGTGTAAGTATGCTTTGTATAAATCGATCGTACAGAAATATTTTGAATTCCGAAGATTATTTAGAATTGTTTCGATTTTCGGAATTGGATAATGAGCGGATTCGAGCTGAGGGTTCACAGCTACCTTGTAATCAACACAGAGCCTTAGCTTCCCATCCGGTTTAGGTATGACAACCAACGGCGGTCCCCAGTCGCTTGATTCTATTTTCGTTATTATTCCTCCTGCTTCCAGATCGATGAGTTCTTGTTCGACTTTTTCCTTGAGTGCATAAGGTATTTCTCTTGCCTTGATAAACACGGGTTTCCAATTCGGTCGTAGTTTCAGGGAGCAAGTGAATTTTGGAATAGCCCCTACTTCCGGTGTAAATATTTTTTTATATCGTTCTTCGATTCTTTTAATCATACCCGGTGAATCGATTGAATTTATTTGATTGGTGACATTTGCAGTTATTCCGTCGATTTCTTTGAGTTCGATGTTTAAATGTCTAATCCAGTCACGTCCTAGTATTGGAGAAAATCTGTCCGGCACTATGTATGCAGTTTCATTTGATCTCTTCCTCTTGTATTCGACTTGAGTTTGAATGTACCTAAGTGGAGCAAATATTTCCGAAGTATAAGATCTAAATTGAATCGTTGTTCTCTGCATTTCCGCTTTTAGTTTTAATTTCTTAAACGCTGATTCTGGCAGCAACGTTAATCCAGCTCCTGAATCGACCTCGAATTTTTGAGTTTTTCCTTCGATTAAAACATTGACAAAATATTTGTTAGAATCATTTTTTTCTATTCGTTCTTCCCCGAAAATATTAATAACGTTATTGATATTGAGATAATTGATGTCATCTTGGCTGTCTTCGATTTGATTAGTCGGCTTTGAATTTGATGCTGTTTGTTGGCTTCTGTTCTTCTTTTGAAGTAATGTTTTGATGCAAATCTTTTCGACGTGACCTTTTCGTTGGCAAGCACTACATTTCAATTGATTCCTGTCTATACGACACTGCTGAGATCTATGGTTGAATTTTCCACAACGAAGACAGCATTCATCAATTCCCAATTCTCGATAATTTAGTCTTGATTTTGATTGATGTCTTGAATTCGAACGTCGGTGGGAATAATTATTGCTTGACGATTTCCGATTTAAAGAATCAGCTCTGCCTCGACGTGCTCGTGAGATTTTGTTAACTTCTTTTGACGTGCTGATACTTGTGTTCGATATTTCTTTATTATTCATTTTTGAAGCCTCGGACTTGGTTAGGGAGCGCGAGAGTGAGTGGGTGCGTGAGTGTGCGTAGCGTTATTTATAAGAAGATTATTAGTCTTAAGAGGCGAAAGGGTTTGCAGGAGAGGATAGGAGGAGAAAGTAGAATAGAAGGAGAAACGAGATAATTGGAGGGAATTTGGTGCGTGGAGCAGGAGAGGCGTTGTGAGGGGTTTTGTGTAGAGAGGCTTGGAGGTAAAGTGTGAGGTTAGGTGAGAAGAGTGCGGTAGACGGGTGGCGATAAGCGTGAGCGGAGGGGGTGAAGGGTGGAGAGGGAGGAGCGAGCGGCGGGAAGAGAGCGGCGTGGGTAGGTGGCGCGGCGAGGCTAGAGGCATAGAGAAAGAATATAGAGATGGATAATCGGAAGATGGAAAGGGGACCAGTAAGTAAACTGAGGGGGGGAGAGAGGGAAAGAACGCAATCGCTAACGGATTTAGATCGGTGGATGAGGACGGAGGAGGGGAGCGAGGAGATGAAGAAAAGACCGAGACAAGAAGAGGAAGAGAATTTGACAGATATATTTAAGAGAAGCAACAAATTGATAAGATCACCGGA